GAGCTCAGATACTTCTTTAACGCGGCACGACTGAATAAGAATGGTTCGTACCGAACGGTGAAGAGTCCGCATACTGTTGAGATTCATCCGATGAGCGCCATGTTTAAGAAGGCCGCCCAGGTTGTTATATATAATGAACTGGTAAGTGTTAAAGTGACGGATCAAGTAGCCCGTTGGAAGATTTGAACTTGGGTTGTCTGTATAGCAGATCGGAATACTAACCGTTATGCCATTAGTATGGAAGGTTATGTGTCAATCTGACAAGGTACTGACTACAAAGGAGTTCATGCGTAACGTTATTCAAGTACTGCCTGAAGAGCTGATGGAGGCTAGCCCGGAGTATTACAAGGCTGAAGACTTTGGTGGGCAGAAGAACATCAAGGGAATCCCCAAGATGGCAAATGCCACTGCAGTGAGCCGGACATAACTCTCCAACTTCTCATCACTACAACGTACATATGTGTCTGCTACTATTGTTTTCCTTCTAACGAGACATGGTTCCTTTTGTGTTGATGGTCAATGAGCGTCGCTATTAGTGTAGTCTGAGGCAAGCGTTTAGAAAACTCGGCCACTTCTGCGTGTTTTGCTGAGAGAAGTGAACGACCTGAAAAGTCGGTTAGTTCTTTAACTGGTTTTGTTCACTTCTATTACAGATGATTGCGACGGTACTTTTTGTCTCGTCTGATGTGGAATGATCTAATCTTAATACCCTCGCCGAAGCATGGCGTGAATCGAGCTCTCCGTAGTTGGACTGTGTTAGGTCTGTCCAGGACCGGGACCCCGAGGCTCGACCATTATATCAAAGGGGCGTCCCTGCATACACCTCTACGACTGCCACATTAACCACTTTGTCGTCTATTTGTTGTGGAAGTCTGTCTGCTTCAATCTGTTCCCTCCTAGTAGGCTCCTACTAGCTATGGCTAATAGGAAGCTGTTATTTATACCTTGTTTATTCTCCCTCTCCTAAATAGTGACACTCTGGTCAGTTGTAAAAGTCAATGATAACGGGAGGTTAACTGGGAGGTCAATGATAACTGTGGTTTCGAAAAGCGCAATGAATGATCAACGTTCTCATTTTATTTCACTGTGATTTACAGTAGTCAGCCAATACTTTCTTGTCAAGAAGATCGCCGTGTTGTGTATGTGCACTACCATTACTATCACTACGCCTTGTCGTTGCTCCGTTCACTATGTTGGTTTTGTGAATTAATAACGGAGTTGGTGAGCAGAATGTCTATGGCGAAATCCCATGAGAGTCCCCTTCAGCGTCTCGCGGTATTTCGTGATTCGGTTCGTCATCGTCCGTTGAGCTCTCGTTGGATCTTTCTCTCTCGTTAGGTTGAGGGGTTGGTAGCTGAGTTCATACGAGGTTTCGAGAGCGGTTATGTCGATACAGTTGAGACCGAATTTCAGAGGTTTGACACTCATTGTCTTCGCCAGGATGAGTCCCCTCAGACTTTCCTGCCGACCTGAGATGCTACATCCTGGAGAGTTTTCCCTATCAGGGAATCAGCTTTACGGTGTAGATGGTGACCGACATTACCATTTTTGAGAGTCGCTGCTCGATCAGATCATCCGTCGCTTGATAGTAAATGTTGGACATCTCGATCTGTGCGTTGCGGATATGGAACGGGTTAGAGACATTGCCTCGACTAGGCTAGTGCAGGTACATCGTCGATCGAACTTTTTATTATTGGCTTGCTGTACTTGAACGCTTTGACCGTGTAGGGCTTCCTAGATATCACACTTTGACTTGAACTCTGATGTTGATAGGCTACCTCAAGAGCGGTGCCCTTCGAGGCTTCCTGGTCTGAATACGACCAGGGCCTGGAAAGTCGTTTTTCTTCCTCGTTGTCTGTTGGTACTTTGGGTATACTGTCCTCCTTGTTGTCAGGGGAGTGACCCGGGCAGTACCGGCCAGATAATGTGGAGTGAGTTCCTCGACTATATAATTGCTGCCCATGATGTATCGTGTCTTGAGCGGTCTTTCGAAGGCAACAACTATGTACTTCTTGTAGATATTGCACAAACAGCCGGAGTGCTCTCCGATCACACACGAATTTCGACCGTCTCAACTCAACGTTGTAGCTTCAGCGTAAGGAAGTTTTTCAGTGCACCGACTTTCACTCGGCATGCAGTTATGAACCGGTAGATGATAAAATGGTGTTCAACGGAGTACTGATCCATCCGGGCATATCCTCGAACTCGGAGAAACGACTCATTGTGCTGGAGGAAGGATCTCGTGACTATCTAGGTGGTCGGTCGATGGTCATAATTACCGTCAGGAGACTTCCATGTGCATTCCGCTACCACTGGGTTACGAGATACCCGTCTTTGCAATATCATATCCATGCAGAGCCATTCCAAGGAAGTAAGGGTGGTTCATCGACCGCTTTCGCCCTCCCTAGTGCACCTCATGAAAAAGGAACAGCCTCCTGTTGGTCATGACATCGACAGCCCTGATCGGTTACCATCAATGGAATAATCAGATTCTTGCGGCTTGTTCGCTGCTTTGGCCGCCTCATGACGACCAAACTGATTTCTATCCAATTCTCGTGACCAGCGGTCTGGACAAGACGTTAAGTTAGGCCGCTGAGTAGCTTTGCTAAACCAAGGCCACTGCTGCCTGGCAGATTCTGGGATGAAGACTTCAGTACAATAACGACATGGGAATTTCCCAAAATGTGTGTCGGCTCGCTATGCTGGGCAGCAAGAATACGCACTTTGTTCGGGACAGACTATTTTGCAGCATGCGTGTATCAGTGGAGGATCCCCTCGTTCCGTGAAGTGAGTCCCGAAGAAAGTGTTGAGAGGCCCATTGACCTGTGTGTGCAGTTACGTGCCATGGAGAGTCCTGCGATTCTGAAGCGAATTCATACCGATTCAGCGGGTCACAGCTCAAGTATCAACCACATGCTTTGGATCGACCACATAGAAACTGTCGTGACTGCAGGGATGGACAAGTAGGTGTATGAATATTGTAGTTGTGGACTGTGGCTCTCAGGAAGATTATCTTTTGGGACACTGTACAGTCTCGGACAGTGCACGAACTCCGTGACGCGCACCCCAAGGGTGTCGTGCATTTAGCATATAGCGACGCATTATGTGAGAAATAAGGGTGTCCTTAACATCAAGGACTTCGTGTAAGGACGTTGCGTAAAGTACCCGATGCAGGATTCGAACCTACGACCATCTGCTCCGTAGGCAGACATTCTATCCAGCTGACCTAGGCTGGGGGGAAAAAATCAGAAAAGGGAGGGGGAAAAGGAAAAAGGGGAAGAAAGGAAAAAAAGAAATGAAAAAAAGGGGGGAGGAAAAAATGAAAAGAAGGGAAAAGGAAAGCAGAGCCAGTTTAAGCAGCTACCCTGTATCCTAACAAAACGCAAGACTTCTCAGTGGGGTTTTGAAGATTTTATTAACAAAGAGCGAACTATTGCGCAGCCCATAAACTTAGCTCCGGAGTGAGCCTGAGCACCGACGTCATCGACTCCTTCGTGGACCCGAGTTCTTACCATGAATAGTGTTAGCTGGTCTGATTCGCTCTTATACACTGCATTTCCTTGCAACCACATTCGATTAGAAGGTCCGTTTAAACCTAGAGAAGAAGTCTTTGTCATGCTTCACGTGTGGAGTTACCTTAGCTATCCTCTCATTCCTCTCATCATTCCGTGCCTGCCGTTGATTCTGATATTGCTTCCGTTTCCACGCATTCTTGCGTAACTGCCGTTCTCGTTCCCGCATATCCTTTGCCTGCTTCAGCTCCCGGTACTTTTCTGGTGAATGCGTCGGTGCCACCGGACAATACCAAATTAATTTACCGCCAATCTCATCATCCTGGAACTTTTCGTGCAGAGGAAGCGTGGTGCTTTCTTTAGGATCTTGTAAAATACTTTCGGTCAGAAGATTGCAATATCCACACCGTTGCTTCTTCTCCGACCGAACACCGACCACCACCAGATCTTTCAATCTCTCGCTGGCCATCTCTTGGAGCTCTTTTTTTAAAGACGCATCTTTCGGTTTCATTGGGCATGCACCATAGCGTGAGCCGTCATCAGTATGTTGGTTGAAGCCTCTTACTTTCGGTAGCTTGCAGTGAGGACATATAATGTTCGTTGTACTCCTGCCAACTTGGTCCTCCTTATGTCCAATAACATCATTGTCAGTACCACAACATGGATCATCGACTCGCTCCATGGCATCGAGTACTTCTCTAGCGACGCTAGGTATCACTGGCGCGCCAAGTGCCTCCTGTGATATAGCCTCAATTAATTTATCATTCGCAACTTTGGGATCGTCGTCGATCGCTTCCACCTACAGGATTAAACATTGATTTCGGACCTAGTAACTACGACTTACGTCGAACCTCGGCTCGCCAAGATCGTCTGTCAACTCACCAACTGCAGTCACACAGGCACGAGGCCGCACAACCCACTCCTTAACCACATCCGCTTGAGTAACCGCCCTAGGGCCATTGGTAGGATGCTCCCCGACCAAGGGAACTGACGCGAAGGGAACGGAGGCTGGAGGCTTATTAATGTTATCTTGTTCGCTTGGCTTCAGTCGCTTATCAAGCTGGGTCATAATCTCCATGCTACCAATAGTTGGTGGTCTGCTAGACCTCGCGCGGTTAACCTCCTTGATATAGACGCGGATGTCCGAAAGGCTGATATCGTGCAAAGGTAGCGGCTGCGTGCCAGATGATGATGCGGTGTGGAGCTCATCGAGAATCTTCTTGTTATATGTTGCCCATATAGCTTCGGGTGACTCACCCATTTCACACATGATGTTTCCCACAGTAGAGCGCACGAGCGGGGTCCATTGGGCCAATCTTATGATGCACGGATCTGCACGAAGGCCACACCATCGCTTGTTTTTACCCCGACTAGTCCCTGACTTGAGTTTCTGCTGAAACTCTGCGTCTGTCTGCTCGCGACTTGGAGTGTCCGCTATACTTTCGGCATCAGAGGAGGTAGTTGAACAAGTATCGTCCTCTTTGCCATCGAGCCAGCTTGCCAGGGTACGCTCGTAAAGCTCTTTATCCAAGTGTTGCAAGTACGAGAAACCAAAGGTGATCTTCGTTTGCTCTGGAGCTAGGATTACTGTATCGCATAAGTCTTTCCTCCCCTCAGCTTCGGCTCCAGAAAGAGGGATCGGCAGCATATTTGAGCCAGTGAGATTAGCGCGCAGACGCCGATTGCTGAAGATGGCTCGCCAGTGCATCCGAATGGACATCAACTCGGGGCCTATCTTACTGATCATCGCGGCCTCTTTCACCCAAATCGAATGTCTATTCTCATTGGTACTACTTCCGCGACTAGCTCGATAGCCT